CCAAATAATCAAGTCCTAAATTCGATAATACCATTCCAAGTGCTTCGTGGGAAGCAGAATGTTAAAGCTTGATTATGCTGTTAACTAAGCTATATATCAGGGAGGTTAATAAGTCTGTCTTAAAACACCTCTTCATATGGGCTATTCTGGGCCAGGGTGGGGTGAAATTGGTACATACGTGGAGAGCCAAACTGTAAAACCAGCTGCTGCCACTTTTGGTCTGAGAAGCAGCTTCTCAGTATGATCAGTGAGGAAGACTAGGTGGGAAGAAAAGATGGCGGACCTCGTTCCTGGGAAGGGCTGCTCCAGGTTGCTCCCTCAATGTGGGGTGCAAGTTATTGTCTTCCCACCTCAAAGAGGCAGCAGCTACGCTGGTTCTACGCCAGGGGCTGCCTCTGTGGGGCCTGTGCTCTTTGGAAATCCTAAGGCGCTCCAGCCCTGATGCCTCGGATGCTCTGCTCTTTGGCTCCTACCCACAGGAATTCTGGCACCAAAATCCAGTTTTGTTTTTTGTTTGTTTTGCTATATTAAAGTGGGTGTATCAAGGTGTCAAATCAGTGGTTTTCATCCAAATACCATGTCCCACAGACATCCCTGACCCCCATCCCCTACTGCTGACCTCACCACTGACCCCCACAGTGGGGTATCAGCAATGGAAGGAGGTTCAGGGAGTCATTCTTTATTCAACAAATATTTGTTAATGCTTACAACGTGCTTACAAGTCTCTGTCCTCTTGGAATTGTTTAGTGGGGGAGACAGACTTAAAAATGCAGATAAGCAGGCTGGTTAGCCAAGTGAAAAGGCAGGATGGGAGTGTTGCCAGCTGTAGGGCAGCATGTGCGGGGGCCCAGGGAAAGAAGTTGAAGTCTCTCGAGGCCCTGAAAGGCAGAGGGGTGGCTGGAGAAGTCATGAGGGCATTCAGAAGGAATAGTCACTGTGTTTAAGGCAATCTCGAAAAGACACACCCCTCCAGCAATAACAAGATGTCTGTGTGTGTGGGCCCATGAGTGTGTGAGTGTGAGCGAATGAGCAAGAGTGAGACAGTGTGACCACCCTTCCTGTAGGCCTGTATGTGTCACTCAGGCAACGGTCTAGCCACTTCATCCTTGTCTCCACTGACAAGGCTGAAGGGCTTCTGAGCAAGTGAACCACACGAAGGAGCTCTATCTTGGTAGTTGCCTACACTAGGCTCAAGCACCAACTATTCCCATGAGATGTGAAAGCCTGCAGGTCCTCAAGGGCATGCTGGAAATGCCTTTGCTGCCAACCAAGACACAAATGGCCAGGAGCTTTCAGACAACTCTGCCATTCCAGAGGAGACATTCTTGGAAGCTTTTGGTCAAGAGACGCTGTCCATGGAGTGTCTGATTTGGAGGCTGCATAATTTGTCCTTGTCTCACCCTGTGAGCTCCCATGTAGGTGCAGGTCTGCTCTGACATGCAGGGCCAGTAGAGGGACTATTCCTAGTCTAACTTTGAGGGAAGTGGAGGTTTGTCCGTCGTCACATAGCACGAAATCTTGTGAGAGATTTGAGTTCAAATCTGCTTCCAAACAATTCTGCCCCAACCCATGCTAACACACTCAACCAGATGGGGAGTCTAAGAAGACTAGAGCAGTACTTGACATTTTACAAATTTGGAAATACAGGTTCAGAGGTGTTCTGTAACTTGCTTAAGGTCACGCTTGTAAGAGCTAAAGTTGGGAAAGTAGACTCTGCCGTCTGCGATCTGTTTTCCCTAGCAGAATCAGAGACATCTTCATTGGTTGGCACGTGATGCATCAGACAGTGATCAAATTGAGAAGCAGTTTATGGCATGTTTTTGAAATAAATGACTTAAGTTATCCTATATTCTTATCTGTGATGGACTTGCTCTGTCTCCACCTCTTTAGGGAGTGTCCCAGGGAGACTGTGGCCCCCCAGCTGTCTTTATGGTTTTCTCCTTCACATCCTTCCAAGCATCCAGACTGGGCTAGAACAAGTCTGGGAACAAAACCAGTATCACTCTGCTGCTGGGAGTGGCTGGGCCCCCATCAAACTGCCTCAGAATTCTGCAGCCAGCCTCCTTGCCATCTGTAGCCAAGCCCAGAGGCATTCAGTGTCCTCAGCCTCCCTGTGCCTCCTTCATCCAGGCCCCAGTCACAATCACCTCCTGCCTGAAAAAAACCTCTGCTCACAGGGTCAAGTCCACACAGCTGAGTTTGGTGTTTAAGGCCTTTTCTAAATCAGACCAAACGTCTCACCTCCCGCTCCTTCCTACTCATATTCTGATGCCCTAGACAAGCTGCACTGCAGCCTACCTGAATCATCACGTGCACGCTTAACTCATGTGTGCTCAACTACTACATGGCTCAGCCAAAATAAAAAGGGAGAGGGAGAAGTAGAAATGCAAAAATAGTCCTGGAGAATTTGCCCACCACCCCAGTCTATGAACGTGAGTGAGGTGAGGCAGGGCAAGTGGCCCAGTTGTTCCTACTGTGGACTCAGTCCTTGAGGGTTCCTCCCAGGATGAGCATCTCATAATCCTGAGAATGATCCTAACAGACAGGTGTGGTTTGTACTACACAGTCCCTAAATGCAAGCCAAGCAATACATGTGAAACAAAAGTAGTGATTAGTTCCAATGCTAGAGGAAGAGCTGGCTGTTTGGGGCCCAGAGACAGGACTGTATTTCAGAAGCAGGCAACTAAATATTTTTTCAAGGGTAAAATGGCTACACAGATTTTTGCCTTATTATTTGGTTTAGAATCACTGAATCTTTTTCCTTACATAGCTTTCCTGCCCCTCTGCCCTACTTACCCTCTTTCCTATGCCCTCAGGAATCAGACGTTCTCTCCTTTGGGAAGCCTCTGCTGACTGCCTCAAGCAGGCCTAATCGCACCCTCCACTATGTTTCCAAGTGCTCCGTGAATTTCCCCAAAACAAGGCGAGGGTGAGACTGTGTCGTACTTACCTGTCTATCTCTCCCATGAGATCAAGATTGCCCTCTACGGCCTAGAACCCAGGACAGGGTCTGACCTACAGTCATTATGAATATTTGTTGGGGATGCATCTGGAGCCTGGCCAGGCAGTGAGGTAATCAACCTTCAACTCTTCAGTCCTTTCCCTGGAACCTGAGGAGACACTAATGTGCTAAGCCTTCCTGATAAGCTACAGAGCATGCACTGTGTGAGAGTCTGATTCTAAGAGGCGATGTGGAAGACGTCTCACCTGGTGCAACCATAATTTCATTTTTCTTGGAGCGAATTCGAAGGAAGGTGAGGTCATTCTGGGGGTCAATTTCACGCACAGTGCTCCGGGCCTTCAAGATGAAGTTGTGCATGAGGTTGGCGTACTGTGTGGTGGTGGGATTGTCCATGGTGCTCTTGATGGGAATGCCTGAGGGGAGAGCAGACAGAGACTGAGCTGGGTATTGGAGCTCCTTTCTGCCCAGCTCCCAACCCACAGCCCCAGTTCTTGGGTACTGGACTGGCAGTGAATAATCAATGTCGCTATTTACAAGGGCTTGACAGGCACTTCAAGTATGTCAGTGCCAGTCCCCAGAACTACTCTGAGGGTGGTGTTACTATCTTCACTTGCCAATGAGGCAACAGGAACTCTGAGCAGTGAGGTGACTGGCTTACGGTCACACAGCAGATAATCAGTGGGGCCAGGATTCAAATGCAGGCCTATTGTCTCCATTGCTGGGCTCCTTTCACAGGGCCACACTGTCTTGACTAGTTTCTGGTAATAAAAGGAGAGACTATCATTCAGAACACTTAGAATCTGAACAAGGTAGACAACTCTTACAGATTTGTAAATACTGAAAAGTAGAAAGAAGTAAAAAGGTCAGTTTGTATCAAGACATAACCATCACCAGTGTTTTGCTCCAGTTCCCACCAAGGGAGACTTAGGGCCCAGTCGTAAACACATTGTCTGTACACATGATCATGCCCCCAAATTAAAGCCCATTTCTCTGTGTACACCCTCATAAACAGCATTGCTACTGCTCTCAGAGTCCACAAGTAGCCATTCCACTGAGTTCATCATACGTCTAAAGTACCGAGGCTGTATTTTTAATTTAATTATTGTGCAGTGGACATCACTGTGCATCAAGCCTTTTCAGGTTTCAGGGCTGTTTCCTTGTGATGACCTATTAAATGGACCTCCCTCACTGGACAGTGCCTATAGTCATGGAGGTGAGGAATGGGGCTCAACTTGAACAACCTCAACAACTGGATCATCAGGTACCTATGAATCACTGTGCCATGTCAACAGAAGGCTCTGCCAATAAGGCCTCAGGTGCCCACAGCTGACAGGAACTTGTGATAAATGTAGCACAAGCAGCTCCTCGCACATAAGTGGCTGGATTTTGGACCCAGGACCCTGCTAATTCTGTCCACAACTGACCAGCCTAAGGATCAGCCAAAGGCAGTCAACCTCAAGCCTACCCTTGGGTGGCAAGAAACTGGCCCAACCTTGTCTTCTTAGGGCACAGGAACTTAACAGTGGGCAGAAGAGGACATAGTGGCAAGAGAAGCAGCTGAGTCAGACAGGCTGTTTTGAGCCAAGTGAAGTCATGAGAACAGGTTGTAGTAATTGCTTGCCTTTAAGAGACAAGACAACGAGGTCATCAGTTAGGACCTGGATGACAACAGTGTGTCCACCAGGACCCCATGAGGCCTTGCTTGATAGTAGAGCCTTCCTGAGGATGGTAGTATAAGCAGCAGGGGTGATGACTGAATAGGAACTCTGAAATGTGATGACCTGAACTTATATCCTGGGTCTGTGCCTTCATGGCTACGTAGACTTAGAAAAGTAATTTAACCTCTCTAAGCCTCCATTTCCTCATCTGTAAACTAATACCTGTGCTTCAAAGTGCTGCTGTGAGGATTAAATGTGGTTTAAGAATGTTTAGCAAGAGTACGCATGTAATAAACATTGGTATCAACATCACTCACACAATAAATCCCATTCTGCAGGTAACTTGAGGGGTCAGTTGGGGTGATCAAACCTCTTGACCGTTTTTTGTTTGTTTTTTATACTACAAGGGCACCTTCTCTGAAGCCCCTCTGGAACCTGGAACTTTCTTTCCTTCCCCTATTCTCTTACAACTCCCACTGATCCCTCAGGTCTCCATCTTCTGGTGGCTCCACCAACTGCCAGATGTGGTCAATGTCCCATTCCATTGTCCCAACACTATGCAATTTTCCTTTGGAACGGTTACTTGAGTTTGAAATCACACCTTTATGGAAGTGATCATTATGTTTGTCCCCCAGCAGACTGTAGCTCCCTGGGGGGCAGGGCCAGGACCAGGTCTGATTTGTTCACCAGTGTCCTTAGACCACATTAAGCATTTATTGCTGTTGATAAATGAGAAATCACAAGGGCTACTTTCAGTAGTTTAGACATGAGTTTGATCATATTCCTACCAATGGGTGAGTAAAGGAGACAAGAAACTAACCACTTCTTGGTTCACTTTAAAAACAAAAGAAAACATAAAGGTGTATGGGGTGGGGGCAGGGACCAAAACTGGAGACACTTCAAAAGACAGCCTAAGAATTAGGCCACTTACCCCAAGCCACTGCCTTCACAAATGGGGACTGTGCAGAAGGCTAGTCACCAGGGAGGCACGATTTCTAATCTGAGGCTCAGACCAGGTTGTATAACCAGGTCCTCCCACCAAACCCAGCTCCATCAATCAACAATAAAAAAAAATTAACAAAATTTAACATATTTATTGAGCACAAACTCTGTATCAGCACTGTTCTACGTGTTGGGGATAAAGTAGTGAACACAAGAGACAAATCCTTGCCCTTGTGGAGCTTACACATTTGAGTCTTTTATTTTGCCCTGTGTAGGTAACAGCAGAGGACAGCAGGGGGTCTGAAGAGGTAAAATGGAACAGAATGTTCATTAAGTTCTTGACAAGTCAGCTTAAATTCACACTTTTATTATGAAACATCATTTGCATGTGGGCAAGACAGAGATGTCAAAATACAGTGGCAGGTGGTAAGTGATTGGGACAAGGGTGTGTCACGAGTTCAGGGTTGAGAGCCATCACTCTAGTCTGGGGTGATCAGGGAAGGCATCCCACGGGAAGAGGCAGCTGAGCTGAATCATGGGGTAGGAAAGCTCTAACTAATCATCCTTAATTGGAAGCTTCCAGAGGGCTTAAAAGCCCCAGGAAACAGTGAGTTCTGACCAACTCCATCCACAGCTGGGTGACTTTGGGGAGGTCACCTTACCTCTCTTAGCTTCGGATTTCCCAAATGAAAATGGGCAAACACTTCTGTCTTGTGGGGTCGCTGTGTGAAATGTAAATGAGAGACTGAAGTGGGAGCTCTATGAAAGGGACACAAGTTCATGCTACATTAGTAATGAAAAAGAAGTGCTCATTAGTATCCAAAAAGAGAGAGTGGGGCTATATTTTCCCAATGAAAAAGCTCAACTTTTGGGGTAGTTCTGAGGCAGGAATGAAGACTTGTAGTTTGCAAATACCAGTGGAGGACTGGGGTCCCAGCTGGGGTGTCAGCTCCTGAGGCTGTTCTCTCCTACTTGGGGTCAAAAATGTTCAGTCCCAGAAGACAGTCTCTCTCTGAGTGATATACAACAGTCTGTTGGGTGTTGGACCCAACCATTCCACTTCGGGCAGCTGAGGTCTGAGAAGGGGAAAGGGAAGCCTAAGGCCACAAGCCACATCAGTGGCAGACCTAACCTGGGACCTGCTGCTGCCTCGCAGTGTCCTGAGAGCTCCCAACCTGCTACTTCCTTTGAATCTAATGACCACATGGTCTAATTAGAGCTTGACAAAGCTGGGGAGCACCCTCTGCCTAGCTCTAGGCTTGCCAGGGTCTTAGAAAACAACATTTTAACTGAGGACATGCCACCTCTACTTTGTCAAGTGGTGATTTTCATTCTGCTCTATTGTAGCAGATGCTATTGAGAATCCTGCCTTTCCAGAACAAGGCTTAGAATGACAACACATACACACAGAGGCTCTCAAGGAGCATCAAACAAATCAGAGCTGAATGAATACACTGAACTAGAGAACTGGGGGAGCCCAGCTAGGTGACCCTGGGCCGCAGACCCGCAGCCACTCTCTGGTCCTTCACAGCAGTGTAGGAGAAAGAGCACAAGTGCATTCACACAGACTTGGAATGCAATCTTGGCTCTGTAATGGCAGGCAAATCAATTAAATTTCTAGACTAAGTTTTCTCCATTGCAAAATGAAGACAACAGGGCTGCTTTAAGGACTAATGAAGTAGAATGCTTGTAAAGCACCAGCCAGTGGCCTGGCCCAAAATAGGTGGGTGTGTGATAAATGTTAGTCCTTTTCTTCACTATGTCTACAGCAGTTTGGGAAAATTAGTATCTATACTCTTCTAGTTGCTGAAATAACGTCTCAGAAGAGAAGGGAAAAGCTACAGGCACAAAGCTGACCAGAGTATTATCTAGCAAAAAAGTAGAAACAACATAAATGAAGGATGGTTAACCTCATGAGTAAACATATCCAAAAGAGTAGCAACTATAATTATGACCAAGAGAATATGCACCTGGACAAGGGCTGGAAAAGCATGGCATACTGAAAAGTATGATCCGTCAGGGCAGTGGGATTGAGTAAATTTTTCCTTTTTTAAAATTTAGAATTCCAATAACAGTACTAGGACACTGGAGATATTTAAAAAAAAAAAAAAAAGGTGAAAATTCAAGTACATGAAGGGGCTTAGTAAACAGCAAGTGTTATGCAGTTTGGGCTGTTTTCTGGAGGCCTGCACGCATGCAGGTCATGGTCAGAGGGAGGGCATACCTTCTGTGTTCACCACAATGATTCCTTGCACTCCCTTCTGGCTCTGAAGTCGCTTCAGTGTCTCCTCCACCTCTGCCTGCCAAAGAGAACAAGACCAAGGTTAGGAGGGGCCAGGAAGGCTGCATTAACTAACTCCCTCATACCCATGTGTGGCAGATGAATCACACGTTTGTCTTCCAACAATAAATAAGTAACACCGGGGTATGTGGCACCTCCTCAAAGAACCCCAGGCCTGTATGGAATGATCCCTAGGCCACCGCTAGCACCTAAACCAATATACTCACCCCCAGCATGGGGCAGGCCTCTTCCCGGTCCTCTGCTCATCAGGCACTATTATTCCTCCTGCCTCAGCTATTTGGGAGCAGAATATAAATACCATCCCCAGGAGTATAGGCACATCCCTGATTCACATATTCGGTATACCTGGGGGACAGGATTCTGATGATTAGAAAAAACCCAAACAGTGCTGTCTAATAGAAAGGAGACACATGATCATTTGTGACCCAAGCAGCACAACTGAAAACATTCCAAAGGAAGCAAAATGACACTATGAGTATAGACTCCATGATTTAATAAGCTAGCATCTAAGACGGGGTGACACGTGGCACATAGCCATAGGAAATGTACCTGGGGAAAGGGCTTGTTAATCATGATTCTCCAGAAACTAGTCAGGGTGAGATACTCTGGCACATGGAATTTGTAAACAGAGGGGATAATCAGACGTTTAGTTCCTCACATAGCCATACAAGGCCTTCTATATTATCACTTGCATCTCTTTTATCCTTCCCTCCCTTTTCCATCTATATGCCCATACCTCCCTGTCTCCATCTTTTTACCCAAATAAGGCCTCTTCTCTGCTGAAATCCAACAAATTTTTCTAGACATTTAAGACATTACCTCCTCCATGAATCCTTTACTGATCCCCAACTCAGTGAAGTCTGTGCCCACTTCTGATTCTGCAAACTCTTGATTGTACCACTCTGGGGATGCATTAGGTACTGTTTTACTTAGAGTCCATAGAGTAGTCTGCAGAGAAGGGACTCAATAAAAAGCTGCTCAACTGAACTAGGCCTAACTTCCTATAGATGGAAACTGGCCTTGAAGTATGCTTGTTCTCTGGTTGCCCTTTCCAGACTGGTCCAGAACTAATCAGAAGCTCCTCAAAGGCTGAGAAGCAGCCTATGTTGGAAACAGAGGCTTCATTTACCAAAAGAGAGTGATTCCCCACCCCCAGGGAATAATGAATTGGGGGAGGGGGAGCTTCCAAACAGTCGATAGAGATTACACAACGAATTATTGTTTTTCTCTAGTAAGCACAAGGCTGACAATCCAGTCACTACCACCCACTTCCCTATGATGTAAGAAAACTTTCAAATGCTGGAGAGAAGGGCATTTTTCATAATTCATTCAACAGAAGGGCATTGGCTGTTTTGTCCTCCTGCAAAACAGCCAATAGCCTGATGCCTCTAACATCTGGAGCCTGGATAAATGGAGAGAGATAGCTCTGTGGACATGAGAGTACCGTACAGTGGATCATGGATGTATGAGATCATAATTCATCCAACAGACTTTCACTGAGCTCCTACTGTGTGCTATTCTGGAGAGGAGGAGTAAAGTACAAGAGAAGTCAATACCACACAGTAATCAATTTGACTTGCGAACCCTCCTGAGAATTCAACCTAGGGAAATAATCCAGAATAACTAAAAGAAGAACAAAGTCAAGTAGGTGTTTGAGGCAGTAACATCTACAATAGCAAAAAGCAGAGCGAGCCAGAAATGCCCAATAAATAGGGAAAAGGCCAAATAAATTATGGACTGTCCATTCACAGGACCGTAAAACACATATGAACAATGATGATCGGAACATGTATACCGCCACAGAAGGTTTATGATATAATGTTAAATAAAGACACCTAAATGCAAAAATAAAGTAGTTGTGACTGCAACTACATGAAAATAAGAAGGCAAGAGGGATTAAAAAAAAAAAAAAGCCACATTGAAAGCAGGGAAAGTTCTTTTTTTTAAAAACAGCCTCTTTTTATTCTATTGTTTCTATTTAAAAACATTTTTCAACCCCTCTGTGTATCCAAGAGAGAGATCTCTAATATAGGGACCATAGGGCTCTGATGTACTCAACATTATAAGACTATATAAGAATAAGTTGGATAACAATTCAGGACAACTCAATCAACCTGCAATCAAACTGGGGAAGGAGAAAGCTAAAACTAAAGATGTCAGACCCGAGGTCAAAAATATCCCCTGAAGGAAAGAAATTAGGGCTGAAATGAAAATAGATTTCATAAAACTGCTATTTATTCAATAACTATATGTGTGCTTTCTATGTGGCAGACATAGTGTTTGGCCAGGGGGTGCTGTAGTGAACAAAATATAACATCCCTGCCCTCATGAGGCTGACATTTGCGGGTGGGAGTGCAAGT